ACTATATGACACTGGGAAGAGGTCAGGATAAGGGAATGGGTCGGGGGGGATGGAATGGTGCCCAACTACTTGGACAGTCAGGGATTGAACGCCGACCTTCATGACGCGAGACCGTCGCTCTACCGTCCAGCCCAAGTAGTTAGGCTTTCTATAAACTGTTTATATTCTATAAACACATTATATATATATGCGGAAAGTCCACAGAGAAATGGGAAAGAGAGATGAACGTTTCGGCCGATCTGGGCCTTTGTCAACACCGGACTCAAAGAAAACACAAAGGCAGAGTGGAGGCAGACACTAGATCCTGACCACCATCTCCTGGGGAAAGAATTAACCAGAAAAAGGTATAGATTAGCTTACAATGGTCAGAGGGATTTAAGCGGTAGGAATAAAAGATTAAAGAAAAAGACTCATTGAACCTAGATAAAATATTAATATATTAAGGTTCAATGAGGCTTTTTCTTTAATCTTTTATTCTTACCGCTTAAATCCTTCTGATCGGCTAGGTTAGGTTCGGGCAATTTAATACATCATTTTTCTGACGTGACAACTCTTAGAGGACAGGCTGGCTCATTAATACATATCAGATTTTCTTCGCTGACTAAAATAATATTCATTTTAAAACATGAAAACAAAATATTGTATTCCCCCTTCCCAAAAATTCTACTGACAGATGGTACGTGTTCCAAAAATCTCATGATGGCTATTGTAACATTTGAACCTTGAGCTTGTAGTTCAAATCTGAACGCTGCTATATAAACACAGTGATGTCTACAGATGCACACGGGAGACATCTCCCGTCACGCAGGGTGCAGTCGCACCTCCACAGATCTCCAGTATCAGCTCTTGATACTGGTAATGGCTCAAAAGGGCCACCACTTACGGGCTATTCATGCCCGTGCCACCTTTTGGGTGGCTTAATCTTTATCAATCTATAGATGCTCGAGTGAGGACAGAGAGGCGAGTTTAGCTTGCCGCAGCGCTCTCAGTCCACGGGTTGAGAAATGACCATCTTTTACAGCTATTAATTCCCAACACGATTATATGTTATATGTATATATGATTATATGTTTTCTGTTTGTGGTGTTGTGTTCTTGGTGGGGGGGGGGGGGAGAAGTTGACAACGTTGGTGGCTTTGGCTGTGGGGGAGGCCCGCACAGGTGTTGGCTGCTTGTGCACAGGTGTTGGCTGTTTGTGCACAGGTGTTGGCTGCTTGTGCACAGGTGTTGGCTGTTTGTGCACAGGTGTTGGCTGCTTGTGCACAGGTGTTGGCTGTTTGTGCACAGGTGTTGGCTGTTTGTGCACAGGTGTTGGCTGTTTGTGCACAGGTGTTGGCTGCTTGTGCACAGGTGCTGGCTGCTTGTGCACAGGTGTTGGCTGTTTGTGCACAGGTGTTGGCTGTTTGTGCACAGGTGTTGGTTGCTTGTGCACTGGTGTTGGCTGTTTGTGCACAGGTGTTGGCTGCTTGTGCACAGGTGTTGGCTGTTTGTGCACAGGTGTTGGCTGTTTGTGCACAGGTGTTGGTTGCTTGTGCACTGGTGTTGGCTGTTTGTGCACAGGTGTTGGCTGTTTGTGCACAGGTGTTGGCTGCTTGTGCACAGGTGTTGGCTGCTTGTGCACAGGTGTTGGCTGTTTGTGCACAGGTGTTGGCTGCTTGTGCACAGGTGTTGGCTGCTTGTGCACAGGTGTTGGCTGCTTGTGCACAGGTGTTGGCTGTTTGTGCACAGGTGTTGGCTGCTTGTGCACAGGTGTTGGCTGTTTGTGCACAGGTGTTGGCTGCTTGTGCACAGGTGTTGGCTGTTTGTGCACAGGTGTTGGCTGTTTGTGCACAGGTGTTGGCTGCTTGTGCACAGGTGTTGGCTGCTTGTGCACAGGTGTTGGCTGCTTGTGCACAGGTGTTGGCTGTTTGTGCACAGGTGTTGGTTGCTTGTGCACTGGTGTTGGCTGTTTGTGCACAGGTGTTGGCTGTTTGTGCACAGGTGTTGGCTGCTTGTGCACAGGTGTTGGCTGTTTGTGCACAGGTGTTGGCTGTTTGTGCACAGGTGTTGGCTGCTTGTGCACAGGTGTTGGCTGCTTGTGCACAGGTGTTGGCTGCTTGTGCACAGGTGTTGGCTGTTTGTGCACAGGTGTTGGCTGCTTGTGCACAGGTGTTGGCTGTTTGTGCACAGGTGTTGGCTGCTTGTGCACAGGTGTTGGCTGCTTGTGCACAGGTGTTGGCTGCTTGTGCACAGGTGTTGGCTGTTTGTGCACAGGTGTTGGCTGCTTGTGCACAGGTGTTGGCTGCTTGTGCACAGGTGTTGGCTGCTTGTGCACAGGTGTTGGCTGCTTGTGTACAGGTGTTGGCTTGTGCACAGGTGTTAGCTTGTGCACAGGTGTTGGCTGCTTGTGCATAAAGCATATTCATCTTGTGCATAAAGCGTATTCATCTTGAGTGAATGGTACCAAAGAAGAATTTGTAAAAATGATGAATTATGTAAAACATTCTCTTTTGATGATTACGTGAATGTTTATTGAGAAAATGGCGCTTGATCTGCTCTGCCAGCTCGTCTGATTGTAGCAAGCAATTTGTGGTTGTAGCAAGCACTGTCTGACTAGCAAGCAACGTCGATTGTAGCAAGCAATGTCTGACTTGCAA